TAAGCCATTCGTACACCAAATCCAGCATCCACGTAGACTTCTGGACTTTCGGAACATTGCTAGGCCTAGGAAGACAGTGCAGTACAATTCGTTTACCGCATGGCTGCAGTGTAGACCTCTGCTGTCTATGTGAAGTCCGGTTGCCCAACTGTGGCAAGATACTAATCAAAGTACAACATAGCGATTCAACCTACCGGTTATACTACAAAAGACCAACGGACACCTCCGGTTTGCTCGGAGTAGCAATCGCCGTGAGCAACCTGGCCAACAGTGCCATGATCTCCCGGGAACCAATCTTTCGCAGGATTGCCATAGCGCACTTCAAGGGTAAGCCGTTTAACCTGACTGTCATCGCTATCTATTCTTCAACGTTACATGCAGGAGCGCCCATTAAAGATAACTTTTATAATCAAGTTCAAGACGCAGTGAACCGCAGCCCGAGACACGATATTCTCCTTATCGCAGTAGACTGGAATGCACGCAGATTGATGACATTTTGGTACGTGCTCGCTGGGCCTCTTCAGTAGAAGACACCTGTGCCTATCGCGGTACAGAAACTGGAGACAAGAACCGCACGACCCATACCCTTGTACATACCCGCTTCAAGATCCACCCGACTGCTCGTTGGAGGACTCTTCTCACAGGCAAATTCAATGTCGCTCTCTTGGAAGGATCTGAGGAAAGGTAGGCGTTGCTGAACACAGCTGATTCCAAAATAGCCTCAATTTCTTCTGACGATTCAACTGTCGATGGAGTGGTTCAAGCTGGAAACGTCCATCAGAGAAGTTGCGCCGGGGCAGTTAGTTAAGACTCTTGTTAAGGGAAACGAACAGAAAATGCAAAGATGGGTCAAACGCTTCGATGGGCTACTCAACCGTCCATCAAACAAACCTGGCTGTCCACAGGTGTCAAGCAGTTCGGAGACCTACGACATCACTTATGACCCACCATTAGAACAGAAATAACCAATACAGTCACTTCTTTGAAAAACAGGAAAGCCCCTGGAGAAGGCGGGATACCACCAGAGCAATTCAAAGCTTACCTACAAACTCTGATCGACCCGCTGCACTCTCTTTTCCACTTCATTTAAGAAATAGAAGTTTTTTCCAAAAGGTTTGGCAACTTCAATTTTAGTTATTGTTCCAAAAAAAGTGACAGACCAAGATGCAAAAATCATAGGGGTATCAGCCTGATTGATTTTTCGACCAAATTGTTTGCAGTGACACTGCTTAACCGCTTCGCAGTCGTCAGAGGTACTCGTATCCGCCCGAACCAAGGGGCTTTCGCCACGGAAGAAGCTGTGTTGAGCAACTCTTTACTCTCCGTAGGATACTGGAACACTGCTGCAAATTCCTTCAATCTAGCACGCCATGTTTCATCGACTTCCGCTGTCTTTGACTCTGTCGATAGAGAATCCTTGTGGTGCATATTGCGGTCCGATGGGATGCCCGAGAAGTTCATCAGGCTTTTATAGTCGTATTACTCAGGGATCCGGGCACGCATCTGTACCTATGGAGTAGAAGCAGCTGAATTTACGCTGACCTCTGGAGTCAGGTGTTATTCAATAACATCTTAGATTGGATAATGCGACTAGCACTCATCGACTACTTCGGAGTTCAGCTTAACCCAGGTGCATGGATTGCAGACCTCGGGTTTGCAGACGATGTCGTCGTACTTGGGGACACCGTGGACAACTTCCAGCCTGGTATCAATCACATATATCAGCTTGCCCAGGCAATGACACAACCCCTCTCGATTAGCGAGAAACCTGTCGAATCAACCAAGATTTTCTACAATCATACCAAACGGTCTGACTAAGGATGACTTCATGTAGATGAAGCTAGAAGAGCCTTCCTGCAAATCCTCAGACCGTTGGGTAACCGATGCGGAATAAGTCTAAACACTGAGCTTCGGGTTTATCAGGCTTTCATTCGCCCCATCCTCATTTATAGTTGTGAAACCCAGCCGCTAACAGTACAATGTACAAGGAAGTTGGAGGCCTTTAATCATCGGTGCATACATCTCATCTTGAAAGTAAGTTGCAGAGATCGGATTTCCAATGAGGACGTTTGCAGTCGCTGCCTGAAAAGCTTTCGAAAATGCTACAACACCGGCACGTTCAGTGGTTTGACCACGTGCTTCGGATGCCCTCACGCTGAACTTTCGCGGCAGGCTGTAATCCCTGCACCGTGCCGTGGATGGTGTTGCCGACTCGGTGTTCAACTAAAGATTTTGAATATTACGATTAAGGCGGATTTGGAATTTCTGGGCCTCCAATCCGTATACAAAATTCGTAACTAGAACCATAACTGGGTCTCATACTGCGCCATCCCTGCCCCTGGTCTTCGCACATGGGCTGCCATTATGAGAGACATCTAAGAAGCCAACTTATCCTTCCGAAGGAGTCAGTCGCTCAAAAGTAAAAACGCAAAAAAGATACCTTTCTATCTTCCTCGTACCAGGGAGATTTTTTCACATTCATTACTTGACTGAATGAGTGCATAGTATCACGTGAAGATCCACTAAGTGGTGGTTGACACAGTCTGAGCAGTGATAATCAGTGATGTTAAATCACGAATCGTCAGGAGGGTGTTTCTGTGATTGATAATGTTTTCAATTTTGTTTTTCAACAAAGACTATACAGGAATCAGTTGTCACCGAGGTAGTGATCAAGGGGTCTGGTGGTCCAGTGAAGTCCTAAACTGAGCGTCTTGAGGCACAGTTTACCCGATTTTCACCCACATCGACAGTTTAAGCGGTGGTGTTGCTGGGCGATTCCACATGAGGTCCGAAACTCGATTTGATACCCCGTATCGAACAGATCGAGATCCCTTCTCTCCCTGTGAAGTCATAATCAATTGCTACAAAACCTGTGATGAGTCATTTGTTAAAATAACATTTCACCAGCCAAAATGTTCTTTGGCGAAAGGGATCGTTTGCCTGCGGTTGGCTGTAGGCCCGAGGGAGACGGACAAATGCACTGGACCACAGTGAAGGAGTGAATTTCGGAGAACATTCAATGCAAGGCAGCAATGGTCTTCTAAAATCGAAATTAACTTCAATGTGCTGGAATGTCGGTACTTTACTAAGAGTCGGTTTCCACACTGCCCTATACATCAACAATTACCATGTGCCTCAAATGAGAGATAGAAGACCCAGGGCTATTCATTCATCTTCTCCAAAGCATCAGCCGTAAAGCTATGATATTACTGTCTACTTGAGCCGTCTGTGTGATATATGGATCGTCATCATTATCACTTTGGTTATCAGCGTACATTTCACAACACCTCGAAGCCTGAAATCCACGGCTGTGCGATCGCAAGGTTTCAGAACCTTCACAAACGAAAAACCCTGGGATGGTCAGGCAGGTGCATTTCAATACCTACGTGTAGGGCCTGCAGTCATTCAGTTTGTGCTCTAGTTATTATCGGCGAATTCAACGAGATTTAGATGGTGAATGTTTGGATTAGCCCGTTCGGTTTCTTACAACCATTTCATTCGGAAAATGGATGAAACATTAACATGCTTCACATTTTACCACTAAGTTTTCATGGGTATTGAGTATCACAGAGATCAACAAAGGTTGCTCTGCCGTAATGATAATGAGGTTGGTTCCAAGCACGCGCCTAAATTGGTCCGTTAGGATAAGGGTTTCCTGAATTTCCCGTTGTAATTATGTCCATCTATCCAAATCCACAATCACAGCGGTCATGAACAGCACCGATACGTTTTCCGGAATAAGCATCATTTGAATTTGTTTATTATCAGGATACTTGCAGACTACTTGTGGGGTTTGATGAACCGGTATGTTGACGAACGTGTTTAGTTAATTACTTACCTTATACCTCACGAAAACCTGCTGTCCCATCATCACAGCCCGCAACTCAAACACCCGTAATGGAATTGGTGAAACACATACAGTCCCAACAGGATAGGTATGGTATTGATTCCGTCGACAGCTAAGCTGCTTACCACCAAAGTTGCATACCGATGACCAAAATTACAATATTTCGTTTGTTCTACTGGCTCTCAGTGGTCTTTTTGTGCTTCTGATCTGAAACATTTTATTCGTACTTATCCAGAACTTTGGTCCGTTGTTGCCAAACAGAATTCTATATAGAATATCTAAAATATTGGTCGCCTCAATGTGCGCGACTGCCGTTTCAACATGATGGTTTTAGGTTACAATTGTTGATGCACCTGTCTCTGCGGGGCGCTTTCGCGATGGATAGATCACAAAACCAAAGATAATTCACAGTTGACACTTCTTGACTCGACGAAGATTATTTTTTACATCATACTCATTGATTTCACTTGATATTTCTACTTTACATAGCAATAATAACAATGATAATCATCATAAATAATAAATGGTTTACTTCAACCCTCAATTTATGTTTCCTAAGTTGTGCTTCGTGTAATTACACGTCACTTGATGTCCTCTTTTTTTGCTTCTCATTTGGCTGCACTGGATCAAACCATAAAAAGGATACTGATGGTCAGGTCACCAATTGGGAAGCTAATGCATTTGCCCAGGAAAACGATTTACAATTCATTGAGACATCTGCCCTGACCGGTGAGAATATTGATGAAGCGTTCCAACAGTGTGTCAGAGCTATTTTGGAAAAAATCAAATGTGGTGACCTCGATCCGGATCGACTTGGCTACGGTCGTCAGCGAGGCGTTTTGGGTGGTCTGTCTGCCGGAACCGAACCACTTCCCCTACCCACCGTTACCTCAACAACGGAAACCTATCACAATGACTGTACATGCTGATCCGTCCCCTCCCTCCTGACCGTCCTGTCCTCTACACATGAATACGTACGATGTTCCAGTGGTACTTGCCAGCTTACTCGCATCATGCTTTTTTTCATCATTTTAACCAACTACATTACACATTTCGATGATTGTCAATTTCGCTTGTGAATCTGTTGTTTTCATCATGATGAGACGAAGTATTCAGATGCATTCTCACGTCCGGAA